CTGGAGAAACTAGGGACAGCTTAGAAATTAGCCCTAGCAAGAGAGAAGTGGGATGGTTTTAAAGCTCTATACATTTTTTAAATCCTCACCCAAGGACATTTTCACAGATTTTTAGAGAGAGATGAAAGAAAGAGAAAGAGAGCGAGAGCTAGCGAGAGAGAGAGAGAGAAACATCGATGTGATAGAGAAACATTGATTGGTTGCCTTCTACATGGCTGGGGATCAAAACCTAGGTATGTGCGCTGACCAGAAATTGAACCCACAACCTTTTGGTGTATGGGACGATGCTCCTACCAACTAAGCCACACCAACCAATACTGAATCTATACGTTTTTGGTGGTAACTTTTTCTTGCACTTTTACAGAGGCCTTAGTCATTTTGTAAAGTAATTAAGTGATCATCACCTAAACTTTTCCCTCCTTGGTTCATTTTCTGACTCTTAATTTACTTAGGTCCCTACTGATCTGTCATTTGGTAATCTCTGACTTCTCCAAGTCATCTTCTGGGTCCCTTATTTAGGCCTGTCTCCCATCTCCCTTTAATTCAGAATGTCCTAAACTGTAGAAATTCTGAGGGGGGGAAAAAGGAGGGGTGTTCCATAGTCAAATGAATTTGGGAATTTTGGTGTCAATCAAAATTCAGTAGCTTACTTTACTGCAAGACTTCTAGAGCCCTCAGTATTCATATGTGCATTGTGAATCTCCAAAAGAGAAATAAAGCTTGCAATGTTTTCCTGTATAGATGTGGTTGTGAACAAAAGCCAACTCTGTCTTTGTGTCCTGGATCATGCTGTGACCTTTAACTACCCTTACTGTCCTATGTAAGTCTACCAAAGCCTTCTCGTTGAAGATTGTCTGTGTTCCATACAATGTAGCCACACATATTTTTGTTAGTAACTGCCAGAATGGCATAACAACTGAGTTAAATATCAAACTGGTGATAGAACCAATTATAAACCATCATCTATCATAAGACCACCAGGAGATATGGCTTCTGGTGCATTCTGCATTTGTTGTCCCTTTGTCTTGTCAATCATCAGTACTTGAATTATATTATAAAAAATGTACTGTAACGGGGATCTGGTAGTGGGGAATAATTTGCATAGAACTGTTGGGTCATCTGTCTGCTCCGACCCTACATTCCTGTATATAAATTAGCCTATAATAAATTCTGTTATATTTTACTAGTGGCATGGTGCACAGATTCGTGCACATTGAAAGGAAATTAGAAGAAATATTTTAATATCACCATTCGCCCTTTCTCTATAATAGAAGTGTTAGAGATGAAAGAAAATTAGTAAAATGTATATGAAAATAGTATATACATTGTTTAATAAATAAATAACATGATATAAAAACAACAAAGACATGATATAAAAACAACAAAAACATGATATAAAACAATAAAAACATGATATAAAAACAACATTGATGGGGGTAATGGGGAGATAAGGACACATATGTAATACCTTAATTAATAAAGAAAAAAAATATATATATACAACATTGATAAGAACAATGACTGATAAATTGATTAAACTTATTCAAATATCTCCCTGTATACCACATTAAGAGTAAAAGCACTTTCAGAGTGCTTGGCTAATTTCCCTTGTGATGAAGTATTTAGAACTTTAACTTTAACATCACACACTCTTCAAACTCGAGAGAAAGCAACATATAACTGACCATGTCCGAAAATGGGTTCAGGCAGGAATACTCCTACTCTGTCTAGAGCAGGGGTGGGCAAACTTTTTGACTCGAGGGCCACAATGGGTTCTTAAACTGGACCGGAGGGCCGGAACAAAAGCATGGATGGAGTGTTTGTGTGAACTAATATAAATTCAAAGTAAACATCATTAAAAAATGATTTATTAATAGTCATTGCAAATGCTGGCATCATGGGAAACTGTCTTCGAATTAATTTAAATGGGAGGCCAGTGTCAGATGGGGACAAATATCGCACATGCGCAAGTCAACATTTATTTTTAAATTGCCTGCCAGTGCGTGTCATATGTACTGGCCAGTTGGTCAGTCGGACGGTCAGACGGATGTACGGTTGGTCACTTAGCCTTTTATATATACAGATAGAGTTGTCTGCATTGTTCTTCAGTCTGAAAATGCCTCCTCACTGCAGTGGCCATCACACCTTTGCCCCACTGTTGGACATGACTCAATTAATTGATCATGGAACCCTTTCCAAAGAATATGTAATGACATATCATATAAACAAGTGCATTAATCTTCAAATAAAAACTTCCAAGTTCTTCAGTAAACTTTTCCTTAGTGGAAGACAATTTATATGCTATCTCACTACTAGATTGTAAATGCTTTGAGGGCAATTTCTTCTATTTTCTTGAAATATTACCTGATCTCATCTATATATATATTAAAACTCTGGGGTTCTCTTACGTCCTGGGATGAGCACACTGGGTACCACTCAAGGGTTGCATGGAAGATTCTTGCTAATTAATCTAATTTAGTTTTCATGATCTTTTTACTACACCTCAATTCAACTACTTTGGATGCTTTATTCAAGGCTTTGAGCTAGGCACTGCTGAGTTAAAAAAAAAAAAAAAGAGTAAGATCTAGTTACACCTCCCAGGGCCTGTATAGAAGCAATAAGACAAGTACATGACACAAAGCACAAGTTAAATGCTAAACAAGAGGTCCAAACCATCTTGGGATTCAGTGGGAAAACAATAACAATTGGACAGTTGGGTGGGAGAGGGGACGGGTGAGAAGAATCAGAAACATGGAGGATGTATTATTTGGGATAAGCCTTAGATTTAAAAAAAAAAGTAGACAGAGAATATTGGAATAGTGTTACAGGCGGAGGGCATAGCATATACAAGGCATGAAGGTAGAAAGAGTGGCAAGTTCACCTGGCTGTTTGGCAAGAGCATATGGAGTACACAGGATGAGTTGTAGATTGGTGACGACCACAGCATGGATAATAAAAATGGAAAGAATAGCTTAAATGTCAGTATGAATTATGTTAATGCTGTCCATAGGGAGCCACTGAAGAATTTTTTATTGGAAGGGTGATGTGGGGACCACCTGCTCCTCTCCCATCATTTGTTCTGTCTCCTGAGCTCTAGGTCCTTTGCCTCTGTCCAGCACAGCAACATCTGGAAACTTCAGCCAATGAATCAAACTTCCGGTCTATCAGGTACCGCATCTTGGAGAGCTGTCCAAAGTACAACAGAAATCCGGGCCCTAGATTCTCTAGAAAATGCGCACCCACTCTGTGTAGAACACTACTGCGTGCCAGAATGTTGAGAAGAGGGTGTTCAAGATGCAGAATACAGATAAGAGGTCATTGGTAGATTTAATGAGAATACTTTGGGGAGTTATGATTTCAGGGTATTAAAGAGGAAACCAAGCCGATAAGAAAAAAGGATGTGTACAGATAGTAAATTCTAAGCAGTGAGCCAGGAGAATAGACCGTAGCTAGTCAGATCTCAAGGCAGCCCAGGACTAAAATCGGTACTGGTGTGCAATGAAGGGTGAAGCCCAAACAACTGGAGGTTAGTTCGAGGTCACCCACTAGGCCTTACAAGCACCATCCTCCTGGTGTAATGATGGAAGAACTGGACCCTCCAGGCTGTTGATATGGGCTTGGAGAGGCTATGTGTGTTTCATGGTTTAATGTTTCCTGTGACTTAGACTGAGAGGTCACCCAGGGAGATGGAAGTACCCTTGGTGTGGAGAGAGCTTGAAGGTTTGAGAACGCTGGTGCCTGCTGGGGAAGCAACGAAGGGGGCAGAGCAAAGCTTTGGTGTTTTGCTGTGGCCGGGGCGGGCTCTCACCCGGCTGCCGGCCTCTAAGCGGCTGCCGGCCTGGCGCAGCGACCCACCTGACGCGGAGGATACCGAAGGATAGGCCGCTCTTAGCCCCGTTTC